ATGGCAGCATGTCTGTTGATGGATACACTGGGATTTAAACTGTGACCTTTTGGTTTCCAGACAGCCTCTCTAAATCCTAGAATAACCCCTCCATCTATGATTTGTTTGATGTCTTTCCCCCCTCACAGAGCACCTGGAAAGAAAACAAATGATTTCCTTCCCAGCTTTAATCATGCATGTGTCAGGCTTGGAATTCAGGCAATTCTTCCACTTCATTGCTCAAATGAAAGATGAATTATTGGCGTAAGTCCCATTAAACACCCATCCATATCACCCGAAAAAAAATAAGTTATGTCTTTGGTCTCTGGAGAGTGATGAATGTGGGTCAAAATGAAGAGTTTCATGCCAGAACAAGATGTGCACTCAGTTTGAAAAAGTGACGCCTCATCCAAAAATGGTTTGTGGAATGAAGGGAAAACGTTTAAGGCACCTCAGCAATTTCACAACCTTTGCCAACAGGATGATTGAACTATGGCAACTTTATTCACCCTCATATAATGATACCTCTTTACCTGTCTCGTCCTATTAAACTGTCACATACGCTTGTAGGTTCACAGCCAATATTGTCAGAAAATTAGACCAATTTAAGTTAGGGTAAGATGGGGTAAGATGCCCCTGGGGTAAGATACCACCCCACCCCCACCCTTGATTCCTCTCCGAAATGATGGATGGTGCTAAATCGACTTTCAACATGTATTAAATGGCTATGCTCTGGTGAATTGTGACAGTTCATCTCGACTGCTGCATATTTGAAATTTATTCCACAAGAACCATTCTAGGGTAAATTGATATAATTTTTTGTCACTGGATAATTGTGATCTATGTATTTACATTACATAAAACTTTAAGATATGAAGCTTGGGGATTTGTGGGGAGAGTTATTCAATTGGTTTTGAGAATAAAAAGGAGATTTTTCTCTTTTGCAGTAAAAATGTAAAGTTGGACCCTTAGGGCAAGAAACCCCCTCAGGTAATAATATATTGTAGTTTCAACAGTTTGCCAGCGTCATTAGCTAGCTAGCTAGAAATCATGACCATTGCTAGCAATCTAGAAGGTTACAAGGCTTCCAGATCAGGGGTCGACAACCTTTACTATCAAAACAGCCTTATGATTAAGGTAACACAGCCTTTTTAGTCTAAATCAAGGGTGTCAAACTCATTTTAGTTCATGAGCCAGATGCAACCCAATTTGATCTCAGATGGGCCGGCCAATGAAATCATCGCACAATAACCTTTAAGTACCATCAGCTACAATCATTTCCATTTTTTGTGTAAAGAATTACAAGTACATTCTGTAGACGTTCATCCTGAGATGTCTTCAGAAAAATAAGTGCAATTTCAACAGTGTCTCAGTTTTTCCTCATTCAGTCAGTCTACTTCTCACTGTCATTACATGTGCATTTATCCATATATTTCCTGATACAGATTCTTTTGAACTGAAGCTGCTGCTTGACAATATCTTGCACAGTGTTCAATATCTTTCAACATGGTCACAGTGAGTATTCATTGTTATATTAGAGAACTGTATCCTGGTCAGGGTGGAAAAGCCTCTGAAGCAGAATTTTACATGAAGTCTGCATTGTTTATCCTGCTCTTAAAACCTGGCACTTCTTATGCCCTTTTTAAATAGGAATTGCACAAATTTGCAGGAAAGCCCAATCAGTCTTTTTTCAGCATTGGCAGTATAAAAACAAAATCAGGGAGTGCAGCAAAATGCCGCCTACCTACTTTTGTTTATACAGAATGCGCTTTTTTCGGGGCAATGGGGGGCATGAGCAAGTAACAAAATGTGTAACTCATCGTGTGACGTAAACAGTGACGTACTCCGAGGGAAGCTGCGGCTGGTCAGTCCTTTGGCGATTCTCTCATAAGTTGGCCTGTTCTTCACCGTTCCTGTCATTTGACGGTTAATGGCCTCTTCGTTTGCGAGGACAAGGAGGGTGCGCACTCCCTTGTCTCCTCAGTTGCTCATCTTTACAGTGTCTGTCAGGTTTGCGTTTCCCTCTTGCTACTAGCTGCTCATTCCTGCTATCAGCTGTTTCCTGTTAGTCCACCGCCAGTGGGTCGCACGTGCGGTGTCATCAACAGCCCCTCCCATGGCGGAAGGCCGCTTCATTCTTTTTAAACCAAAAAGGGTTCCGCCAATATGTCTACCCTACGAGGCGAAAAATTGGGCAACTTGGATCAACTCGCCAATCCAGCTCTGTGTGTCTAAACGCTTGCAGCTGGCTGGCAAAACGGCCCAACATTCGCCGAAAATCTGGCAGTGTAAAAGGGGCTTTAGTCTCCTCATCTAGTGAGCCGGATTGGACCCTTTGGTGGGCCAGTTCTGGCCCACGGACCGTATGTTTGACACCCCATGTCTAAATTATCAACATTACTAATAGTTCTAAATGAGCGTTTATTAATATGTAACCACAAAGTAGCACTATTCTCTATTTTCCTGTGAGACCTTTCCTTTGTTGGATTGGACTGTGTTGCTGGCCAAGCTAGGTAGACTCAAGACGAGCCAACAATCTTGAGGTTTTGACAATATTTTAAGAAAAGTGCCCAGGGTGTAGACGTGTAACACACATTTTAGTTGACATTATGTAAGAAGATTTTTTGGATTTGGTGTACGGGCTACACATTAGAATGTAAGAATTTCTTTAGACCCACAGCAATGATAATGTGTCAAACCCACAGGGAGCCACAGGAAATGGGCTAAAGGGTTTCATGTGGCTTCCCAGAATCAGAATCAGACTCACAAGAACTCATTCCCAGATGGAAATTGTGATCACAGTCGCTCTGATGTTAAGCAAAGAGATTTACAATTAGAAACAGAAGTATAAAGTATGAACTATGTGAAAAATATAAAATATGTAACAATATAAAATATGTATAATGTGCTGAGTATGTAGAGTGTGTAAAAACATCACTTATGCTACATTACAATGTAAAAAACTAGTAAGTTAGAAATATAAAAATATGTGTACACCACTGCAAGGCACAGCACAATATAAACGTATTAAGTAGAAATAAGAATAAGAAATATATACAAAATATACAGAGCTGTAGGTTGCCTGCCTCTGTTCAAAGTATTTCATTAATGGGTCAGAGTGGGGATTGTCGTTCGTTTTGAAGTCAGAGGCTTCTTTTCTTGGACAAGAATTTTTTGCTAGTCTACCAATTTATTTCTCTCAACAGTTGATTAATGCATCATGATCCTGCAAAACTCATGTCCCAATATAGAGCGTCTTTTCTCATTTTACCCCAATGTGAAAACAAAATGCTCTGAAAGCTTTATCATGAGATCATGAGCTTTTTTCACATTTAAAACAATGGGACCACTGCTTAAACCAGTATTGTATTTAAATACAATTTTAAGATACTTATACTTATTTATTTAACCTTTATTTAACCGGAAAAAAAGGTTCAAGATTACAAATCTCTTTTTTAAGAGTGTTCTAGCAAAGACATGCAGCAACGTAAGTAACAGACGGACAAAATAGAACAAAAATACAAAATCAAAAATATGCAAAAAGATATTGCATAGTATATTGGAAAGTATGTTAATTTATGCTTTAAGTGAACCAGTAAACCAAGAAAAACAAGGGCAACTTCAAACAATACAAAAGACCAGCTTAAATACACTCTGACACTGGCATATAGATAATTGCATACATAATTCCTGCAACAGTGCTTTGAAACGGCCGAGAGGAAGCAGTGAGTGTGATGTTAAATCCTTCTGAGGAAGATTCATATATGAAGCTGCATACTTAAAGGCTTGTTTGCCAACTCTGTATATGCCCATAGGTATAGACAAGGACATGTTCTGTGAATGGAGAGCAGCCATTTTCCATTTTGGCTCAATGTACACACATAACTGTACTTTACTTACTTTAACTCCGATACTTTAAATACATTTTACTGATACTTGAATTCAGAGCTTTTACTTGTAATTGAGTATTTCTATGCTGTTTTATTTCTACATTTACCTAAATAAAGAATCTGAGTACTTCCTTCACCACCGGCTAAAACAACAGACACTAATTGCTGAAGAGGAACAAAAGGGAACAGGAACAATGATTTGCTTATTTTGTAATGCAGAGAGGACTACCTTGAATGGTCCCTTTGTCCCAGCAGTCTTTAGTGAATATCCCCACTGTGGCCCATAAATAAAGATGCTTACAAATGTCTTCTGGGGATGCGTGGTTGGCGCACTTATTTATTCCAAGAGGCAATTGCATCTCTCCTGATACCTTGCTTCCTGCCACAGGCAAAGTATGCAGGGACGTGTGCAGAGGTAAACAAGGACAGCTCAAAGTCTTTGCATATGTCCCACTTCTGTGTGCCTGGGTGAATATTTTGTGAAGGTGAATCTTAGTGGCGCTACGTGTTCAGACTTTAGAGCAAACAGACGCTCATAAATAATACATCATGGGTCACACAAATTTCTTAATCACTGACATCCAGGTGTTATTTTTTATTAATAAAGAAATTAGCTTCATATTCACACCGAACGGTCATGTCATTATCACCCCTTTATAGTTTGAATAGCCAGACAAATCTGAAATCTCAACAGCTATTCAGGGGCTGGAACTGAGGAGAAATGACTGATATAATGGGTTCATTTTGCAAAAAATATATCTATGTATAAAATGCAGCTCATTGCTCAAGAACAATTCATTATTTTAAATTACAAAATGTGCCTTTTGGGTAAAATGGAAAAAAACACTCTTGAAGTTATTCCCTCAATACATCCAAAAAAAGCACTTACATTACTTTGAAAACCAATTACCTGGATTTATTAATCATTTTGTAAGAGCAGATTTTATTTTTCAAATGTTAACACTCTTTGCTGGCCTGCAAGACGTATCAACTGTCTCCTGCTAATTATGTTTAGTCTGCTTCATTGACTCTGACTGTGTTCCTCTAGTTTTTATATTCCATTTCATCCTGGCTCCGTGTGTAGCTGCTTTCCCAGCGTTAAATCGAGCCTGTTATTTGTTCTCCTCACAGAGCCAGGCCTTGGCCCACTACAAGGGGACCAAACATGCCAAGAAGCTAAAAGCCCTGGATGCTCCGAAGAGTAAGCTCAAAGGCTCAGTGGTCACCAAGGAGACCGCCAACCAGGAGATCGCCAAGGGCATCAACACCTCGCAGGTCCCCAACGGCACCGACAGGAAAGGTTTGTGTTTTCCGGCTTGCTGCACATTCCCCAACACATGTTCTTTGTTGTTTTCTTTTTGTAGCTGCTGCCCTTCTGCTGAGAATGAATGTTAGACCCAAAAAAACGCACCTTTTTGGCATTTTACATTTGCTGCACACAACATGCAATCACTTTAGGAGTTGGATGGACTCACAGCTGATTATATCAACCCTGTGTTAGCTGCTGTGCCAATGGCTGGCTACAGACTCAGTCAGTGTTCATACATTGAATTTTAGTCGAATGAGGCAGGGTCACAGTATGCTTCAAACATAATGCTTGTCGGATCATTTTGAGGCTGTGATCTGACGTACAGCAGCGCTGTGTGAAAAAACGTGGCTCCTATTCATGTGAATGGGACCGCCCAGTCGACGGCATGCAGGGCTGCTTTCAGTCTGAATGCCTCTAAGAGTTGTAAACTCCTCTAAGACAGCAGAATTGAGGGGGATTTAACTTTTTTATATGAAGAGGTAAAAACATCAGCAACACTAGTAGTATAAACATCAGTTTTATTGTGTGACCAATGTATGGGCTTATGGCTACATAAGTGTAATGCATTCAGTCCTTTTATCTTCATTCAGTGGTTCGTATGATTTCCTACGAATTAGCTCCCCACAAATGACATTACGCGCTTAACATAAAGATGCATAATTAATGTAGAGTTATGCAGGTTAGATTTAGGCAAGAAAAGTTACTGTGGTTGAGTTTAGGAAAACAAACATGGTGACGATGTACCTTAATATGACTCAAAGTTCACTCTGAACATTGGTCTCTTGGGGAAAAATCATTATTTTGTGACCCATCCATCACCCATACCAACCTGGCCTCACTCCGGAGTCGCCAAAACCCAGCGCTTGGGCAGTGATTTGTGGCGTCAGACACCAACAAAAAAGTTGTCAGCGTCAACGCAACGGGACAAGAACAAAAGTTAAGGCAGCAAAAGTCCGATTTAGGCAGGCGGGAGGGGTGGTGGATGGGTCCAACAAACATTGACTGTGTTGTACCGGGAACTGCCCATTGTTCTGACCATATTAAACCCATTGTTCCGAAGTCCTGTTGTTCCGAAATCATCATGATGCCCTGTGGTTAAGGTCTGGTTAGGTTTAGGCACAAAAACCACTTGGTTAGGGTCAGTAAAAGATCATGCTGTGGGTTAAAATGAAAAAGAAAGTGGCAAACACCCGCTGGGAGCCGTTCAGCACCGCTGACTGTTGGACTAATGGGATGGACCTGTTGTACCAACATAGTGCGTTTATTAGTGCAATGTAAACGGTACATTTCCTGTGAAAATGGAAGTGTATTTTGAAAAGAGACAATGCATGTAACAGGCAGAACTTGACACAGCGTCCCATGACGTGAACAACCAACACACCCAGGGTAGAGATTAGAGTGAGAATGTGTTGCCCAAACCTGCATCTTTAAGGGACCGCTCGGGACTGGTTCCTGTATACTGATACATGATCGCAGTCTTCCAAAATACGTCGCATGCAAATTTTGGTGCTTTATTTTTTGTAGGAAAACGTGTGAACACTGCATAAGAACAGCCTGATTCACTAGAGAAAAGTAATACTACTCTTTTTTCCTGAATTAACAAGATTGTTAGGGATGCACCAATTTTGAAATTCTGGGCCGATAGTGATATTTTCATATTGTTGAAACACAGGAATCCACACTACAAAAAATAACTGATCTGTTTAAAAGTAGTAAAGCCCTTCATTACACTTCCTTTGAATGAGCACAACTCAATCATACAAATGTATGAAACAACCTTTAATATAACCTTTCACATCATAAACTTCAGAAACATGACTGCTTAAAAAGCTTTTTTTACAGTATATAATATATCGTAATTCCCCTGTGATTTCTATTTTATATTAATGTGAAAACATCAATAGATTTTTCTTTCAAACAACTGTATGTATTAAAACTTCTCTCTAAAAACTAAATTTTACAAGATTACATGGAACACATCATGAGAATGTTATAATTTACCTTTCCCAAATACTAATGTTTGCTGAATAGAACTTGAAAGCATCATAATGTAACTCAATGCAACCTCCATGCTGCTAACTGCTAACAGCTAACGTCAGCTAGCTCTCTTCCTGACAATTTTAAAAACGACTCCTTGTTCGCAATGCAGTTTTATCAGGGAGACAACAGGTTACGTCCTCTGCCGCAACAGTTTACTGCATCCTTTTGCCCCAAACTTGGCCCGTGGAAGATCTCTGTTTGTCCCAAATCAATTTCCTGTTCTCCCCAGGACACCGGCTCCTGCTAATCATCTCATCATGCAACAGTGAGATCACAGAGCCCACCTGCTTAACAGTCACAGTGGTCTTCTTGTACTTGCTCATTTATTTAAGTCTGGAGCCCTGGTTTTTCACAACTGACGTGACACAACAGAAAAACTTGGGCCACTACCATTGGTACATACAATGCATTCTAATAGTTGATAAAGGCCGCCAGCGGAAAGCACTGGTTTTACAATAAAGTTCTTTATACTTCAGTGTAGCTGCAGTGAAAACAGGTGTTTAATTCTCTCCCAAGCCCTCTTTTTCTCTATTCTTTTTTTCACTTTTCTCTTTGTAAAATCGAGTGCAACATCATGAATGCCTCTGAGGAGAGATCGTCTGAAAGGGTGTGCCATTATCACTGTATGTGCAATTCATTGCGTTGACACTGCAAAGACACGTAAAAGCCACAGAGTTCTTGGAGAGAGATCAGGAAGGCAGCCACGGGGAGGCTGTGACGGCAGGCCTTTCATCCTGCCTTTGAGTTTGGCCATTCAGAGCAGGTACTCTTTCAGATGTAGTTGTTGTACAAACTAGTTTGTTTGAAGCCATCTGAATTCTTCAGTTTGCAGGCATTTTGCAAAAAATGTTGTAACTTATATAACCATGTACTCTGCCTCCTATATTGGATTTGTACTTTGCATTTGCCTATTATCCCATTTTTAATTACACTTATGCCGGTGCACATTGTTGTGTGCCGACTGTGTGTAACTTAATATTCATCACGTTGCAGCCAGGTGGCTGTTTAAATCCGGTTATCTCGGCCAGGTGTCTGCCGAAAAACATTCTTATTCTCTGTGGAACTCCTGCTTTAAAGCATGTTGAAAAAGTAAACAAACACGGGCTGCAACTTGCAGCATCTGACAGCAACCAGATGCAGATTATTTCAAATTATTTTATCTGCTGTGTTTCATATTGGTCCTGTTGAGGATAACGTCTCTGGCAGCTGAGAGTGCTGCTGAGGAGGCCTGCTCTCTCCTTCTCCTGCACTGTAATATTCCTTAAGCCGCCTGTTATTATGTCATGAAATTGGCCCAATGAAAGTCTTCCCCTTTAACTGTAACAATAGAAGTTTTTTAAAGAAATTGGAAACACATTGAGCAGCCGCACTCTGGGATTAATTTCACCACTGCCCATGCCTTCTTCCAATGTTCCACAAGTATTTAAATTAGGAACACATTTCTGGAGCTCATCGTGTACCATGACCTATTTGTCAAGTCTGACCTATTCATGCTCGCTGCTTAAAGGTTGCTTGAGGTGAAAACACAGCCATTAAATGGTTGAGATGCCCGACCAGGTATTCATATCATGTCTCAGAGGGAATGTGAGGGTGATTTGGGCTCATAAATGCTACACGCTGTTAATAATGCTCTTCTGACGAGTTCAAAAGTAGGTGAGAAAACACTATCAACAAGTACTTAGTTCTACATGTTTAACCTCACAGAGATCACATGCTCGTCTTTACGTTATTTTAAGAGCTTTACGCCTGGCAGCATTCTGCCTCGCATCCCACAGAGTTTGTAAGCTGCTATACAAATATCAAACTTTTAGGTGGAGCAATTTGCACTTAAGCATCCACTGAGGTAATCCATGCTGCAGTGTGTCGTCATTTAGCGTAAGAGAGCTTTCAGGTGACGTCAAACAACAGTGGTTTTATGTCCAGACTAAAATGGCTGGGCCCCTTAAAAAAGCTCTCCCCATATTTACTTTACTCAGCACATACATGTGAACTGAGAGACTTTCTCAGTGACGTGGGTTACTAGGAACTATCATGCTCTTTCTCCCAGGTGGTGGTGCCTCATGGCTCCCTTCACTAATGCTCACTAATTCTAGGCTAGTAATTTTAGCTGTAACATTAGCTTCCTGGCTATTGTTCGCTTCTTCAGCCTAGCTTGGAGCAGCTTACTAAGCTGACTGAAAAAAGTTGGCCATTACATTATTATTTGAGCTTAAAGCCCTTTCCAACTCGCTCTTTTTCCCTTCCTTTCTGCTCTGGCATCACAATTTATGTGCAGGTCCTGGCATAGCAAGGAAACTCACTCCAACATTAGTAATATCTACCTTCACAGCAGTTGTGTACAGGCTCAGACTGGCCATCGGGCAATTCTGGCAAATGCCAGATGTGGGCTTCAAGGCCACCAACGGCAACTCTGAGAGAAAATTGTAGGGGGAAAAGAAGACACAGAGAAAGAAGAAAGACCTGCCGGCTCTGGCCCACTTGATGTTGGAACAGCTCATCTGATTAGGGGTTACACAGTCCCAAAGGTGTCAGTAGCCAACTATACATTCAGGCAGGTGCATTGGTACAGCTGTCATCACCTCCCCCACCCCTTTAAGTGTTTCTTGTCCTATCATATAATGTCAGAGGTCAAGCAGGAAATAACATTGGTCACAAAGTGCTTCACAAGGGCAATACAGCAAGAAAGAAGTCATAGAGACATGACAACGTGAGCTGCTTAGTGGAATGCGCACAACTAGCAAAAGTATTTGCACACACACAAGAAAAAAGAAGAAATCACACTACACAACGACAATACACGAAATTTGAGAAAGTACAGCCCTGGTGCAGACAAGTTACCCAAACGCCTGTCTGAAGAGGTGTGTCTTTTAGCTGGCTTTTAAAAGAAACCACAGAGTCAGCAGATCGAAAATTTAGGTGCTACGGCCACTAAATCTCAATCTTCACGTGTC